TGCTTCAACCAGTCACTATCTTTGTGTCATCCTTCACTTCAGTGGAAGGAAGAAATATTACTTCATTCTAGAGCTAACTCCCCATGCCCCGAGTCTTGCTCCAGATTCTTCTGTCTTTTCCCAGGCACTTCCTTTTTTTAGTTATCCTCCTCCTCCATTTCTTCTTTAGCATTTTTAATTTCTTCCCACTCTTTTCTTAGTTTTCCCTCTCTGCTCCCAAATATGTAGCATGTCATTCCTCTTTACCTGCCTCTGTTCCTTCTGGTGATCATCCTCTCATTCTCCTTGTCACGGCCCACCTTCCCCCGCAAGTGATATTTGAAATTCTGTCCTTCCTCCCTTGGTTTTTGTAATATTGTATTCTTTTCCTCCCTCTCCAACTGCTCTTCTTTGGTACCCCTTGCTTCTCTTTATCCTGCCCCCTTACAACAGTGAATATTCTTCAACACTTCATCATTCTACTCTTTACTCAGGGAACTTATTCACTGTGTGACTTGGTGTCTTTCACCCCAGCCTCCCTCACGAGACCAAGTCTGGTGTCTAGAACTACTAGCTGAACGTTTCTGCGTGGATGTCTGGCTCTCTGTCACTTGGAACTCAGCAAGGCTAAAACCAGACTCTTTCCCATCTTTCAGACTGTTTCCTCACTCCTGACTTAACCTGTTTCTTGGGGTCACTTTTGTTTTCCCCATTACACAGGCCCCATTACTCCTCAGGCAGAAGAACTATGTTGACTCTTCATTTAACATGTCTCTCTCTTCTGTCTTTGTTTTGTTGGTTTCATTTCCACTGCCGTTAGCTTCATCCAGAGCGCCTCATCGCACACCTGAGATAGTGTAGTAGCCTTCCAACTGATCTCCTTTCCTCCAGTCTCTTTTCCTTCACCTTGCACAGGTGACAGTTTCATTTTCCTGAAACATTCCTTTCACCACATTCTTCTGCTCGGAAATCTCCCATTGCTTCAGAATAAATCCAGGTTTTCTTGCATGGTGTTCAAGACTCAGAACAACCTAGTACCGATTTAGATATCCAACCTTAACTCTTCTGTGCTCTAATGTCTGAGCAATCTCACCACCAACCTGTGAATTACCTACTTACCGTTGAGTATGCCATCCCCCCCATTCTCACCCCTAGAATGTGACCAATTGCTTCAGGGTACCCTCAGTCCCACCTCTTTCAGCTTGCAGCCCACATGCACCTTTTTCTCTGAATTCCCCTACCACTTACTAACTCGATCATGTATTCAGGAATTTAATCACTTGTGGCTTTGTTTCAATATTCAAACATTTTGAATGGGTGTGGTCTTGTCTTCTCATTATCTCCATCTTGCTCAGTGAATACTGGTGTTCCTCTAGCCAACATTTCCGTTTGGCAAGTTGCCACCTAAGTGTGGGGTTAGACTAGGATCTCGACTAGTTAGAGGTTTCTGGCTTTGCCTGAAGGAGACTAGAAGGCGCAAGAGTTGTATGGCATTGAGGAATTTTAATCTTATAACAGAAGTATGATGTTGCATTGTCAGACTGGTGTTTCCAATAAAAATTGGAAATTCTAATTTCTCAATTCTTTGAGTCAAGGAAAGAGCTGGGTCTTTATTTTGAAACAGAGCAAAGAGCTTAAGATTGTTTCATTCCCAAAACTCTCTCAAGGAGGACTGTTGGGCAAGATGGTTGTTTGGGAAATTTGGGGCCAGTTTCCCCAGAAATTTTTCGCATGCACTTTTTTAGGGGGTCAGAATCTGGCCTGGAATTTGGTAATGAAGACTAAATTTCAGGAATAATTTTTCAAAATGGCTGAGTAACCTCTCCCCCCCCCCCAATAGCCAAGCATTTCTGTTCTTTTTCTATGGTGAATTTTTTTAAAGGAATTTTGGTAACATTCTTTGATCTTCCTTAAAACCTCACATTATTTAACTGTGGATTATTTCTTTTTTCTCTGCCTCACTTCACTGCAGTTTTTTTAATCTTAACCTGTGTTTTTTGAAAGTGGAATCAGAGTTAGAATCCTTTGTACATGTGGTTTTGAAACAGTTGAGAACCTGGGAAGGGCCTGGATAGTGCATCAGACCCAGTTGCTGGGACATGGTGCCCGAGGGTTTGAGTTTGGTTCTGACAAGGCTCTTGCCAGTAAACCATCTGAGTTTCGTTGTAACATTTAGTGCCATGGTCTATTCTGCCTAAGGTCTCTCTGCATATCAGGCATGGATTTGCTGAATGACTATCTTGAGGTTTATCTGCGCCCTCGGTTAGAATTCATGAGCTAATTCATGAGCTACGATTTTTTGTTTCCAGCTGCATTGAGACCCAACTTCCTTTAAAGGACTTTCTTACTTGTTGATGTGTGTTCCTGTGATTTCCAAGTCTGCCTTGCAAAATGGAGTCATTGACTCTTCACATTATTGCCCTTCTGGGTTGTCCAGCCCATTTCCTTTTTGGTAGGTTGATGTAAAGTGTTCCAAACTTTCACTTTTTACCAAATTACACCAATAAATCACCTGATTTGTTAAAAGTTATTTGGTGTTTGCTGATTTCTCTCCACTTGCTGGTGCCTTCCCTCCCTGGAGGCAGTTTTGGATTGCAGTCCTGAAACTCGAGCAGTTCTATAATGTAAAACTCAGACCATACACACCACAAGGCCCATCAGATGGGATTTTCACTTCAAAGTTGGTTCCCATATAAACTGTTTGTTTTAGGGGCCAAAAAAAAAGTGAAAAAATGGGTATAAAGTGTGCTGTCTCCTCAACAATCAGTTTAGTTTAAAATCAGGCAAAAAGGAATATGAGCTAGTACTGTCACTCAATCCAGATCTCCTGCATGATAAAAGGATATGGAGAAATCAGAGAGTCTAAAAGTAGAATTGGGCCGTAACTAAAGCCTTTAACAGCATTAAGGGGATCCAACATGACTGAATGTGTATCTTATTTATTAGTTTAGGGATACCTGAGAGTTTTGCTCTCCCAATTAATATTTTAAAATCTTTCATGAATAATATGTACATTAGATGAGTATTCTTTGGGTGCACACTACTTCCTTGTATAATACAGGTACAGAAATAGTTTTACAGAATTACTGAATTTGAGAGTTGGCAAGAATCTCACTGCTATTTAGTCCAGTGCTCCTAATATTCAAAAAGGGAAGCCACCCTGTACTGTAACCCAAGAAGTGACCCAGCCCCACTTGAAGGTCTCCAGAGGTGATGTATTATGGACAGTTCCCATTGCTGGGTTTTCCCTGACATCAAGCCTGAAGTTAGCACTTGGCAATTTGTATGCGTTGTTCCCAGTTCTGCTCTCTAGGGCCAGACAGAACAAGCTAATCCGTCTTCCACAGCTCAGCCCCCCAGATACTTGGACAAGTCTTCATGTCCTGTCTCAGGCTTTGATTTTCCAATCCTTCAACACATCCTCATATGACAGACATAAAAGACCCTTCAGCATCCTGGTTTCCCTCCTCTGGACACTTACCTTATCAACGATGTCCTTCCTAAGGGACAAGTGTCTTGTTAGAAAGGAAATCGCAATTTTGTGAAAATTTTATTTCCACTTAAAAAATACAGGATGATAAAAGGCCATCGCCTAGGAAGATTATTACCTCCGAAAAGGAAACGTGCTGAATCTGTGCTCTCACCTAACCCCAAAAGCTTTTGGAATAGAACTTGGAGATGTGGTTCTAGCTAAACCTTTGATTAACTGTTGTTGGTGAGCCTAAGGGTCCCCACTTCTGTGGCTGGGAAAATTCAGGGGATGGAGAACATACAGATGTGCCAGAGGCTTTCTGGGAATCTTCTGTGACGTTGAGATTGCTGTGACTCCATTCTGGAGGGCTCTCCAGAAATACTAATGATAAGAGCTGCAAGTGAGTTGAAAAATTGAACCGCTGCAGTGGAGCTGCCTGTAATCTGGCCATCTAAGTTTGATGTGCTTCAGTTTTTCAGTTTTAGGGAGGCTATGGGCAGTGATTAAAAGCAAGCTATAGATGAGTCTAGTTCTTCCTAAAAATAAGTGTAGCCTAGGCCTTCTTCTCATTCATCCTGTCCCCACATTCCAGAAAGACCGGAGCTTGGGGATGGGAATTCACACTGAAGTGTCTGCTTTGTGCAGACAGTAATTCAGGGCTTAAAAAGCACTTTCTTCAAACAACTGTGAGGGAGGCCAAGATAAAACAGGGTTGTCGTCCTCATGGAACTCACAACTTAGGAAAGGGATCTAGCATGTAAAATATAAGAAAAGCAGGGGTTATGCCTTTAAGATGAAATCTGACTAACTTGATTATTCAGAAGGAGACCTCTGGGCTTTGATAGAATGACCCTACCCAAAAACACTAGTGACAGAATTTGTACTGGGAGTCATGAGAAAGCTAGGCCCTCTGGGATCCAGTTAAGAGGCAGACAGTTCCTGCCCCACTTTACTTTTTTTTTTTTAATGTCACTCTGTATGGCACAGAGACTAAATATGTGATTTCGTTGGTATAGGGAGCTCCTCTGCTGCTTATAGTCTCAGAGGGTTGCCCAGAACCCTGAAAAGTCCAGCAGCTTGCCCAGCATTTGTCAGTGGCAGGGCTTGAACGCAGGCTTTCCCGGCCACCCAGCCAGCTCTCTCTACATGCCATCTCATCCATTGGACTGGGCTCCATTTTTTGCTTTTCTTTGTATTGCCAGTTCGTGGCCCATAAGAGGCATGTAACCAATGTTTGTTGACACTACAGTAGGCCTACATCCTACTGCCTCTCACAAAGAGATGTGGCGGTATATTGGGGGCTGAAAGGGATGTTAGAAATGATGTGTTCTGTCCCCTGCATTTTATGGTTGAGGAAACTCAGGCTTAGAGATGTGAAGTGACTTGGCCAGAGTCACAGGGACATTGAGGAGCAGAACCAGAATTAGGTCCGGACTCCAAACACTCTGTATCACATACCACGAGATGCCCAAGTCAAGAACACTGTTGGAGATGACAAGGAGGTAATGTTTGGTTTATGTTTAATTTCATAAGTAAATCACTAGTCCAGAACAAAAGCCTCAGGATAAGCACGATCCCATTTTAAACACTGCTTTCAAACATCATCCCCTGGCCCACCTGGAAGACCACCAGGGACCAGACTTTGACCACCATGATTTAAAATTTAAAAACCTCCTTGGACTTCACCTTGGATATCAAAGTGACAGCTCTGTATTGTTACTATGGCTTTCATCAGGGAACAAGGTGAAGTGTTGCAGTGCATTAGAAGTTAGTAGGCAGGTGTGTCCTACTTTCTACGCAGCTCTCAGGCCCCAGGACTCCTCGCCATAGGGGATCCACTCAGACTGTGCTAATTCATTCTCTTGGGCAGGGCAGCAGAAACTCGAGACTGCAGCTGCAGGAGGTCCAGATGCACATTCCTCTGCAGGATGGTGCCGCTGCACAACAGGGCCCCATGTAGGGCCCCAAACAAACCACAGGTGAACACATCCTGTCCTGGAAAGCAGAAGCAAAAGCAGTCATGTGAGGGCTAAGCCAAGTAGGACGGCAAGCCTGCTTCTCAGCCAGGGAATTCAGAAGACTGTGCCTAAGCTCTGGGAGAAGACGAAGGACTCCTGGGGTCTAGACTGAGCTCTGCTCCCGCCTCACCGGAGTTCATTCTCCTTTTCTGGAGAAATCAATGAGGACCTGGGCAAGACAGCTGCTGCAGAGTGAAGATAGAAGAGCGACCCAAGGCCTAAAAGACCAGGTCGCTTCATCAGTCCAATGCCAGGATAGAACTGGGGTTCTTCACTTATGTCATGGACCCCTTTGGCAGACTGACAAAGCCTGTGGACCCCTTCAAAGAATGTTTTTAAATGCATATGACAAAATACCAATTATTTTACCAATTATATTGAAATGCAGTTATCAAAATGCAAAAACAAGTTTGTAGACTCCATGTTAAGAATCCCCGATAGGGGACAGCTAGGTGGTGCAGTGGATAGAGCACCGCCCCCCCCCCCCAAAGTCAGGAGGACCTGAGTTCAAATCCGGCCTCAGACCAAACACTTGACACTCACTAGCTGTGTGACCCTGGCCAAGTCACTTATCCTCAATTGCCTGAAAAAAAAAAAAAGGAATCCCTGATAGAGGCCCCACACATCAAATCCCTCCATCTTCTTCCCCCAGCGTTTCCCAGCCTTGCTTGGGATCTAGTAGCTGCTGCTCCTCATAGAACTTCCAGGATAGAACCTGGGGAGGGATAGAGGGATGGAGAGCCCAAGGAACATAGCACCAGCTCAAGTCCTAGCATAGTGAGGCATTGTACCTGTAAGGTAGAGATTGGGGATGGGGCTCTGGGCCCTCATTGTGGCCAGCACGTGAGGCTGCCGATGGTTTGGATTGTGGTCGACCCCACAATTCTCTCCACGAGGGGCAGCCAGAAAGAACTGATGGCTGAGTGGACTCCCTACTGATACGTTATGAACCTGAGGAGGGAGAGAAGACAGTTGAGATGGAGAAAAAATACAGGTGGGCCTCAGACTCCATCATCCCTACATCCTTTTCAGTTTGCTCCAGTTTCTACCACTCCAAGGTGAGTTGTTTGAGGCTCTGTACCCCTCACTTACAGGTACTTATTTCCCTTCAGAACCACACTCCTCTTTCCCAGTATGAGGCCATAGAACTAACCTGCCTCCCCGACCTCTCCCTACACCGGTACCTTCCCCTCCAGCTGAGGGTACAGTTTCATCAAAACAGACAAGGAAGCATCTATGAAGGAGTCCTTCAGGGCCTCATAGTCACTCCCCATCTCATGTGGGGGCTCACTCTGCCATTCATCAAACCACTCGGAGCGGGCAGGCAACATCATCATCAGTGTTGATTGGTCTGAGGAGACAGAGTTCTGGTCACTACACCTGGTGCTGGGCCTATCCTACCCTCTTCCCTTCCCCACTTCCATGGCCTCTGGCCCACCTGGGAACCTGTCCTTCCAAGTTGGGTCTTTGGCTGATGGTGAGGTGATAAAGAAATAGGGAATGTGTTCCACAGCTTGGTCCCTGGATAGGGACAGGTATCTCTCCATCCTGTGGGGAGGAAAGAAGAGAGGAGCCACATGACTGGTTCCCCTACAGTTTGAATCAATGGAGCCTCTGTGGTGGCGTCTTAACCCTCTCAGAAGAAGGGGACAGGAATCACTCTCCCCAAACAGGACCGTTTAGTAGTAGGAGAGCTGCACAGATTCCTTGGATCCAAAAATGCTGCCAGAGACAACTTAAACAGGTCAGACCAACAACTCATCCTGGCAGCTAGGGAAAGAGGAAGATGGCTTACGGGATGGAAGGGAAAAAAAGATACAGGAGCTTCTAGAAGGACACCTGACCTCAAAAAGGATGAGTAAGTAACTGCAAGGTGGACACCATGGGCCTATGAGTCATCTGGAACCCCTTCCCTGCCCAGCTTTTAGGAAGGAGGAGGATCACAGACCACTCCCCTCCTTTAGGACTTACGCTTGGTCAATGTCTGTGTCAAAGTAGACATAACAATTGTTGGCTTCCAGGCCCAGGTTTTTCTTGGAGCCTCGAAGGCAGATGAAGACACAAAGTGCAGACATGCCAGGCTGTACCATTCCTAGATGGGACTGTATACCTGTCAAAAGGACCATAGTGACCTCAGGATGCAGCAACAGATGGACAGCTATGTTTGTGCACATACTGGGTAATAACCACAGTCATTGATTTGGGAAAAAGCTGATGGTTTAAACCTGCCCATCTCTCCGATGGGACAGCGTGCTGTCCAGTTCTGCTCCAATTTTGTGTTTGGATGAAGGTTCTTTTACTACTGCCCCAAATATCTCTCTGCAACAACTTAGGAAGTTCTTCAACTTTGTGCATTTTTACTTCCTCTCCCTGTCTGTACACTCTGCTCGTCCGTAGAATCATATCAACCCCTTTTCCTGTCTTCCTCCCCCTTTCCTAGGCTATCACTACTTCTGCTAGCATTTTGTGTAGCTGATGCTTAGATATGTATCTTAGCCTCTGCACTCTTGCTTCTCTAAAGCTGATTCACATTTCCTATTGGATAGGATCAAATGAGATAAGATCTGCCAAGTGCTTAGCAGAGTGCCTGGCACATAGTTGGTACTTAATAAATGCTTATTCCTTCCCTCTTTCCCTTAGTTTAACTGCCAACTATTACACCTTCATTCTTTTAAACAGAGGAGCTTGCTAAAATTGTGATGACAAAGAGAATATTAGTTTAATTGTTTAAATTAGGAAGTTTTACATGCAAAAAGTCAATGCAGCTAATTTAAAAGCAAGCTGCCAGAAAGAATTCAGGAGCTGAGGAGCCACCATTAGGATCGCACACAATTTAGTAGCCATCACTAAAGTTAACACAGCCTGGAATAAGGTATTCCAGAAGGCAAAAGATCTAGTATCCTGAGTGAGGAACAAGTTTTTTTTTTGTTGTTGTTGTTGTTGTTGTTTTTGTTTTTGTTTTTTTTTGGCTAGGCAATGGGGTTAAGTGACTTGCCCAGGGTCACACTATAGCCAGTAAGTGTTATGTGTCTGAGGCCACATTTGAACTCAGGTCCTCCTGAATCTAGGGCCAGTGCTCTGTCCACTGCACGAGGAACAAGTTTAAAAGCAAGTAAGAACTGTGTGGCGCTGACTCCAGAAACAAAGCAAGGACTCAGTTCTAGCCTCTAGGTCAGTCTGCAGTCTTCAATAGAATACCCAGGACAAGAATCCCAGGCAAATGGGAAGCCTGCAGTTCTATCACTCTGAACTTGCAAAGCTTCTCAGCTGGTTGATAGTCAAAAGTCTGCAGAGAGGTCAAGAAGGATGAGGATAAAGAAAAGGCTATTGAATTTAGCAATGAATGGGGTGATTGGGGCCGTGAGTGTTAATATGTGCAATAGCTGTGGCTGGAGCAGCTGATTACAAGTCCTCCAGGTATTCTAGGTGGGAATTATAGACATTAGGCTTGGCCTAGGCCCTTTGCCATACATACAGCCCAGACATAGACCCTGGCAGCTGAGAGAGCAACCTGAATTCCTCTAAAAAAGGTCTGTTGTCAGATACCATGAGAGCTGTACCTGTGGATACAGAGACTGCTAGGATATCTGTTCCTAAGGGCCTGATGAAGGCCGAGGAGGAAGGGCTCAGATATGAATTCTCCAAGGTGGAAGAGGAGGTTTTGACATCACAGCAGATCCTAAGGGTCAAAGAGAACGGGTCACCGTGGACAGCTGAAGAGAAAGCTGAGCCTGACTCCCCTGAACAGACTGAAACAGAATCTTTCCAAGAATTGACATGATGATCTGATCTCCACTGCCCGTGAAAAAAATCTGAGAATCCTGGAAAGTGGAGTGAGAAACTGACACATTATGACCTTTACAAGAAGATTCAGGAAATTCTCCCAGGCAAGAGAGGAGACTTCAGCTGCCCTGTTCAATGTGGGATCTGTCATCAGCAGTAAACATGGATATATGAAGAACTCTGCAATCTTCAAGTCTTTCAAAGATAGTTGACACTATAAAATCCAAAGTCATCAGTGGCAGAGACAATGGTGGAGACGTCCTTCCTTCACCAACCAGAATTAGTGATAAACCCCTGCAGGATTATGCTTCCTTCTATACCCCTTTGGAGCTTTACCCCACCACAGAATAAGTCCAAGAACCTTCTCAACTCCTCATGAGCAACTGCAGAAAAAAACCCCAGCAAAATCATCATTCAAACCAGGAAATGGACAGAGCCCTGTGTTGAGAATTCATATCCATACATATGTAGACACTTACTGTGGGATTTGAATAAAATAGTGAACAAAAAGTTGTATGCACAGATATTTATACTCAAGCTTGTAGATGAAATGTGTATCTGTGCTGTTCTTCCTGGGGGTGAATTTTAAATAGAGCCATTGCCTCAACTCCCTTTTGGAAAACACTAGCCTAGCTGAATGCCCAAATCAATTTCTGTTTAGGAATACAAAGAAGTAAAATCATGAAACAAACTCTGAAAACTTAGCTCTTTTTCTTCCTTCCTTCAGTTTCTGAAAGCTCCTATAAGTAACCTAGATGACCAAAACGTAAAACTGTCTATTTTTCCTATGTCTCCCTGCCCCTACCAAAGGAAACTCAAACAAGCAGCTGCGTGGTTGTTATGCAAATATTCTAGCTTTAACAAAATAATTTCAAAAAGCAAAACTAGGTAAAGCAGTTTTAGCCTCATATCAGGAAAATAGTATTATCTTGGACCCTTAAGCCAAAATGCAAACCTTACATCACCTACTGCTTTACTTATTTACCTGTTCATATAAAGAAACTGAAGGTTCTAAAGCAGGGTTTTGAGCACTGTATGGCTTTGCAATTAGCCCTTGTGGCAGCATGCTGGCAGTGTATGAAGTTTGCTTCTCTGTTCTCTGAATTCCTATAGTAGCTCCTAGTAGGTTCCTACCTTTAGCTAATCAGCTCAAACGCACCAATGAAAGGTAAGCCTCTGTCTTAAGCAACTTTTAAATGAGAACAGCTTATCCCCTCTATTACTGGCTATTCTACTTCTGAATAAGCCCAGAGAATTGTACGTTACTGGTAAGTAAATCTGAAACTTCCATTGTTTACAATACTTAAAATTCAGAAAATAAACTTAATGAGAAGCAGGACTGGACCTTCCTCAAGACAGGTTGGAACTGGATGGAAAGTGTTGGTTGGGATTAGTAGGAACCTGTTTGGGGATTTGTTGACTTTGTAAAAGTAATATTCCTCAGGAGCTTTGAGGCTTTTCCTCCCTTTTCCATTTTTAAAATGCTGGCATTTGGCAGCTTTTCTCAGGGCAGTTTTCCTGCCTATCATGAGGCTTGATTTTGAGGGTGAAGTTTTGTGCTTATTGGCTCTCAGCAGTGGAATTAAAATCTTTTTGCTTAAATACTTATTAATTCAATTTCACTGGCTGAAGGAATACTCCTTATGGCTCTATTTTGTTGAGCTGTATTGCTCTTCCTACTCTAGAGAATCAGGTTCTGATACACCAGTATCTGCTTATCTATCCAAATGCTCTTCTGAAGGGCAGAATTCCATTCAGTGTAAGGAGGTAGATGAAGTAGGAAGCACACTACGCAGTGTCCTTTTATCTGGTTTTATTATTTGTGGCTGAAATTGTTAGAAGGGAAACAGTGAGAAGAAGTAAGATACAGGGCCAGGAATTAATCTTTCTTCTCCTTAAAGTGGATATTGAGTACTTGTCATTAAATTATTCCTTTCAGGGTAACAAACAAAAAAGGAGATCATTGGTAACACTGGAGAGAGATGAGGTCAGAAGCCAAACTATAGAGTTAAGGAGAGTGGGAGGAGAGGAAGTGGAGGCTCCTATCAAAGAGGACCTTCTCAAGGAGTTTAGCTACAAAAGGCAGAAGAGATATGTGATAATAGCAGGAAGACAGATCAAAAGAGTTTTTTTGAGGATGCGGGAGACATAGGCATGTTTGTAGGCAATAGGGAAGGAGCCAGTAGGTTGAGAGAGAGTGAAGATAAATAAGGGATTGGGGATAAGGGGGCAGTCACCATTAGTATTCAGGATAGTACTAGAAATGCGAGCTATCACAATAAGAAAAGAAAGAGAATTTCAGGGAATAATCATAGACAAAATGGAAATAAAAACATCATTTTTTATAGGTAATGTGATGGTTTATTTAGAGAACCCTACAGAATCAACTAAAAAACTAACTGAAACAATTAGCAACTTCAGCAAAGTTTCTGAATATGAAATAAATCCACATAAATCATCAGCATTTATGTATATTATCAACAGAATCCAGCAGGAAGAGATAAAAAGAGAATATCTACTTAAAATACCTGCATAAAGTGTAAATACTTGGGAGTCTACCTGCCGAGACACATCCCATACCATACCAACCAAACTACCAAAAGATTATTCTATACAGCTAGAAAATAAATTAAAAAAAAAAACAACCAGGAAACAAAAAAAAGGAAAAATAATAACAATTCATCTGGAAGAACAAAAGGTCAAGAATCTCAAGGTAATTAATGAAAAAAAGAGTGGGGAAGAATGGGGTCTTACAGTACCAGATATCAAACTATACTGTAAAGCACAATCATCAGAACAATTTGTTTTCAGTAAAAAACAGAAAAGTTGATCAGTAGAAAAGATTAGTAATATTTAGAAGTAATTGAACGTAGTAGCCTAGTGTTTGGTAAACGCAAAGATCTCTGCTTTTATGGAGTAGAGCGAAGAACTCACTGTTTGACTAAAACCACTGGGAAAGTGAGAAAGCATTCTGGCAGAAACTAGATGAAGGCCAATACTCACACTGTATACCGAGATAAGCTTCAACTGGATGCCTAAGTCAGACATAAGAGGTGACGTCATAAGCAAATTGGAGAAGCAAAGAAGAAATTAACCATCATATCTATGGATAAGGGAATGATACATGACCAAAATGGGATTGAGAAGTTCACAGGAGGTAAAATGGACAATTTTGACTACTTAAAATGAAAAAGTTTTTACACAAAACAAATGCAGCAAAAATTAGAAGAGAAGTAGGTCAATGGGAAAAAATCTTTCCACAAATTTTTCTTATAAAGGTCTCATTTCTAAGATATATAAGGAATTGATTCAAATTTATAAGAAACA